CCGTGTCCCCCTGTGTCCCTGTGTGTCCCCTGTGTCCCTGTACTGCTCTAACTCAGCCGTGTCCCCGTGTGTCCCCCCGTGTCCCCACACTGTCCTAACCCCTCCGTGTCCCTGTGTGTCCCCTGTGTCCCCGCGCTGCTCTAACCCCTCCGTGTCCCTGTGTGTCCCCATGTCCCCCTGTGTCCCCTGTGTCCCCACACTGCCCTAACCCCTCGGTGTCCCTCCACAGACAGCGCAGGCCGAGGAGCAGCTCATGCAGCGCTCTCAGCGTGAGGAGCAGCGCGTGGCCGAGCTGGAGGCCCAGGTGGCCCAGGTGTCTGAGCTGCTGGGCACCTACGAGAAAGCCAAGCAGAGGGACCAGGGCACCATCCAGAAGCTCAAGGAGCGCATCGTGCAGCTGGACCTGGAGAACAAGACCTTGGCCATCGCCGCCTCCAGCCGCTCCCTGGGCGAGGCCGCCGTGGAGGAGGCCACCCTGGACGTGACCGTGCTCAAGGAGAAAATGGAGAAGCTGAGGAAGCTGCTGCAGGTGGCGGCCGGGAAGGGGACGGAGGTGGAGGAGCCACGGGAGCCACGGGAGCCGCGGGAGCCAGAGCCACCCCCGGGCACCGGGGACGGGAACGGGGACAAACAGGAGCTGAGGCAGCTCAAGGAGGAGTTCGAGCGCTACAAGGTGAGGGCGCAGCAGGTGCTCAAGAGCAAAGCCACCAAGGATGTGGGGCTGGCCAAGGAGCTGGAGGAGGCGCGGGAGCAGCTGGCCGAGCTCCGCGACAAGCACGTGCTGCTCCAGCTGGCCTCGGACGACACGGAGAAGCGGCACCGGCAGGAGCTGGAGGCCAAAAAGCAGGAGCTGTCCCAGCTGCAGCAGCTCCACCGGCAGGAGCTGGAGCGGTGCCAAATGGAGTTCCGKGAGCGGGCGCTGCGGCTCGAGGAGGAGATGCACAAGCAGCGGGACCGGGCGCTGGCCGTGCTGGCCGAGAAGGACCGGGAGCTGGAGCAGCTCCGCGCCCTCACGCTGCCCCACAGACCCCAGAGCTCACCAGGAGACGTTCCCAGCCAGGATTCCTCGGAGATCCTCCCGCAGGCGCTGCAGCTGGGCTCCGGCTCCGAGCCCACCTTCTTCCTGTACGCGGAGCAGCTGGCGCGCAAGGAGGTGGAGATCGCGGCGCTGCGCAAGCACAAACACCAGCTGGAGATGCAGCTCCACCAGCTCCAGGGCCGCCTCCTGGCCGAGGAGGACAAGCACCGCGACGAGGCGGCGGCGCTGCGGGATGAGATCCAGAAGAACTGCCGGGATAAGAGCAGGGAAGGGGCCAACCTGGAGTACCTGAAGAACGTGGTGTTCCGCTTCCTGACGCTGCCCGACGCGCGGGGCCGGCAGCAGACGCTCACGGCCATCATGGCCATCCTGCACTTCAGCCCCGAGGAGAAGCTGAGCATCGCCAAAAGTTGGGCCCACAGCTCCTGGTGGCTCCACGGGAAGAGATGAGGGCTGGGGTTTGTTGCCTTTTCCGTCAGGACTCRCTCCCGAGGACCAAAACCTCAGCCACACCCAGGGCTCTCCATGATTTGAGCTCCCATTGGTGTTTTCAGCATAATTCACAGTGGGTTTGTGCCAACTTTTCCAGCCCCAAAGCCTTTGATGTGGGAATTTGCTCCAAGTTGGGACTTGATCTGAAAACTGTGGAAATTGAAGATGCTGAGGTTTTTTAAAGGCAATTTAAAAATAATCCCTACCTGTCAGGCGTGGGATCGAGTGGAATTCACGTGGATCTTCCAACTCCAGCCCGGCTGGTGACTCAGGAGATGCAGGGGAAGGTGGGAAGCACTTTAGGCGGAGCTAAAATAGCACCAGCCGTAGAAGGCTCAGGGAATTGTGGCTCAATTTGGGWAATTTGGGCATTTTCTCCCCAGGTTCTTTTCCAGAGCCACGTTTAACCAGTGGATGCAGCTCTGGGCTCATCCAGGGGCTCAGGCTCTCCTTCCTTCCCAGGGATCCTCTCTGGGGTTTTCAGGGATTCCAGGAGGGAGAAAGGATCTCCCCGTGGCTGATTCCCACCCTGGGGCGCTGCCGAGTGGGAATCTGACCCTGGCTGGGAGCAGAAAGCAGAGGACAGGCTGAAATGAGTGCCCTGCTCCCGGTTTTTGGGGCTTCCAGGGGAGTTTGGCTGTTCTGTGGTGCTGATTTGGGAAGGAGGGGGCTGTGAGGGACAGGAGGTGACAGCTCCGGGCAGTGACCCTGGTGACAGTGACAGCCTGGCCAGGGCTCAGGAACCTTGATATTTTTCCCTGATTTCTTGGGAATTGGTGCAAGAAGGAGGCCAGGACATCCTGCACTGCCCTGGGATGTTTTGCTGGCGGGGACCCTGAGGCACAGCAGCCACTGGGCATGGGCAGGGACAAGGACAGGGACAAGAACAGGGACAAGGACAGGGACCTGCAATGTCTCTCCATTCCTTCTGGGCTGTCCTGGTCCTGTCTGCAGCCAAATTCCCTGGATTCCACTCTGTCCTGGTGCCAATTCCTCCTCAAAAAAATCCTCAGGGAAAACACCGAGTCCTTCCAGGGCTCCATGCAGGGATGGTCCCAGTGGGACAGCGGGATCCGGGTGCTGCCCTGRTGGAGGGATTTGGATGGGAATGGGAGGGTTTGTCCTGGGAATGTCTGAAACTGCTCGAGGATTAAAGTTGGCTCAGCCCTGTCCCCATTCCCAGTTTGAATCAGGAGGCGCCTCTGGAATGACAGGGATGGCTCCAGCTTTTTCTCTGGAGCCATTCCCACAAATCCAGAGGGAGGTGGAGCCTGCTCCTGCTTTGGGTTTGTCCTGAGGCTGMGGGGATGGATCCCTGTTCTGCCTCTGCTCCTGCAGGGTGGGGTGACCTGGGATGGATCCTGGG